GCTCCTGGCGGTTTGCTGAGCTGTATATCTACTCGATTTTTACACTTAGATCCTCTTGAAGGCTTAAGAGTGTTACATTAGGAGTTTATAAATAATTAACAGTGGCTCAGCGTAAAAGACTGTTATTAATAAAAACCATAAAGGTTTTTTTGGATCATATAAACCAGAGGTGCTCAGTCCTGGTCCTGGAGATCTACCACCCTGCAGAGTTCAGCTCCAACTCTAATCTAGCACACCTGATCCAGGTAATGAAGGCCTTCAAGGGCATCCGAGAATTAAAGCCAGGTGTGTTGGATCTGAACTCTCCAGGGTGGTAGATCTCCAGGACCAGGATTGGGCACCCCTGATATAAACCATTAGTGAAAGAGTATCACCACTCAATAATGAAATATTTGGGGAAGAAAAATTTTGTTTAAACTAGATGATGTGTTGGTTTCTGGCAAATTGCCTCAATCGTAGAGTCAAAAAATCACAGCTTGCTTCCATATTTTGGCCTGTAGTGTAACTGTAAGGCGTTTTTGTTGTGTATGAGCGCCGATGCCTTCTTAATCACAACAGCCGCTTGAGCTCTCCGCAGCAGTGTGCCGTGGTATCGAATCGTAATGTAATGAAATATGACACAATAACGTTTACTCACATAAAAGCATTTACACAATGATGTGGAACGCATGTTGAATTAAACACACAAACAGCATTGTTTGTAGTGCACTTAACCTTGTAGTGTGCTTAACAGTAGCTTAAGGATGTTGCCTAAAGTCTCACTTGACTTCATTTGTCTTCCACTCTGAACGCAAGCGCTAAGCAGATGACACGGTTTCCCACATCTCGGTAAAAAGATCATTAGAGGTCGTCTACCTCTGGCCCCGGGGCCACCTGACTGTAATAGACCTGCCGAGGAGACGAGTCAAATTCAACAGTCAAGGCGTCACAAGTACCGTTTTCACTCTAGTTTTGCACTGGAATGAGGTCAGAGTTGTGAGAAAATCCCCACCCCCACCCCCAATCCAGAATCTCCCAGCCCCCCCAACCCCCGCCCCCCCCCCTTAACCTAATGCACCTCTCTCTGTACATTTTGCCATTTACCACCATTTAGTCACCCACTGCTTAAAAAGAGTCTCTTCTGTCATCGTTCGCCCCTCTCAAGTCCCCCAAGCACTCTGCTGTTCAATATCTTATTAATACTGAATTAAGCAACATGCCTGCTTTGCGAAGGAATTAGAATAAAAACGAGGGTGTCTTTAAATTAAAAATCAACTCTGCGTTCGCCAGGCGAAGCATTGCGCTGGTTCTTGTTAAAAAGTCATTATAATAGATCTTGCTCCATCTATTTATTACCAGTATCAAAACAGAGGTCTTAATGCCTATGCATAATTCATAATTGAATTTAAAAAAAAAAAAAAATCTGCCTTTTGGAAAGAAAGAAAAAAAAAAGCATGTTAACCATATTCATAAACGGCTCACTGCTTCCTAATTGCGGCACAATTATCGCTTGTTATTAACAATGTGAACTCTTAAGCAAGTAATTATACGAGAAAACCTGTGACAACCCCTTGAAAACTCGTGCGAGGTACTGCACTACTTACAAATGAGATATTAATCTGGAAACTGACATTTATTTAGTCTTGCAAAGGGAGCTTTTTTGAAATCCAGTCGCACTTGAAGAATAATTTCTTAATCTTTACTGTTTTTATCATGTTGGAACTCAATGTATATTAAAAGTATTGCAAGATTACAGAACTAAAGTGAAAGATTTAAAAAAGGAATGTTTGCTATAGAGGAGACAGAATGTTGTCTAACGCTGGTTGGGCAGTGAAGGCTTGTGGTTTGCTGAGGAATGGGAGTGTGGCGCTCAGTGTGAATAGGGATGCTGTTCTTCTGATGGCTGACACAGGTGTTAGCCATATAGGAGATTCCCCCAGGCTTCTGTAGCACCAAGCTGGATGGTGTGTTTGTCTGTGCGCATATGGTATTTTGACTGACTCGGACGCTCGCTACACTCTTCTGTTTGTACTATTTGTCAGTAGTATTATTAGCTCTTGACTGAGCTCAATAAAGGAAAATGTTCTCTAGTGTCTTTGATTAAATGGCCAGTCAACCTTGGATTCGGTTCAGGCACAAAGCTTATGCTTCTTTTGTGTAACTGCAGTGAGAATAAAGTCAGTCAGAGTGGTTTGATGTGAAATGGTTCACTGTAGAGAAACGTACTGACTCAGATTTCTTTAAAGTGATGATGACAGGAACGTCTACAACACAGATATAGTCATTTTATTAATCATCTGAAATGACCAATGAGCCTACACGTTTTCTGAGTTTTTATATGGCATGTTGATGATGGTAAAATAGTGATGCATCTGAAAACATGTTTTCTTTGGGTACTATTTTGCCCTGCAAAGTACCTCTACACCATGAATTTATATAAAAAAAAATAAGTTTTAGGCCAAATTTCAAAGCTTTCGTAGAATAACATCTCAGGAATCAGGTGTCTAAACTTTACAGGCATTGAAGTTTTTAGCCGTCTGGTTCCTATCACCACCACTGTGAACAACTCTGACTCTTTAGAACGGCACATTTCACATTAAACCACTTATGCAGAAATAAAAAATGGTAAAATACTTAAGATGCATTCATTGACCCACAGAATGATCCACTGACACATAAATCAGTGAAATTTAGAAAATTTGGTGGACTTTCTCGTGAAAGCCCTATTGTGACCGAGGTCCAGCTCACTTAGAACTGCACATGCTGGCCGGGCCGCTGACGTCTCTCGCCAGACGGAGAAATTGATAGCAGGTGGGGTGTGTTTACTGCTTGCACTTGGTGGGAGCGGGCCAGCTGGATTTAGAGGCTTCCTGTTGTGGGAAAGGCGCGTTGCTCCAGGTGGACGGTGCAGCCACGGTTCAGCGGTCAGGGCTGAAAGGACGCAGTGTCTCCTGGAGCCCCTCGCTGGGCCGATCAAAGCGCGCCGCCATGCGCATCAGCGGAGAGCAATAATTAGGTATTGACTGGAGCAGCACTGGGCAACTCTGAGGCTCCGATAGACCGACAAGCTCCAGCTGGGCAGGAAGCCGAGATCACATGGGTGCGATGATCCCACACTTCCCCTGGAGGTCAGAGGCCATGTTGGAGTCAGTGCAGGGCCACTGATACACATCTCTAAGCACGGAGTTTGACGGGTGACAAATGTGTCTTTTGTTTTATACAGTTTGTGTGCATATATATTACGGGAATGAGGCATCAGTATGGCATGAGAGGATATTACTATGGAGATGAATAACCTGGTCTCAAGGATGTTACAAACTGAGCCACACTGTATTGTGTGTTTTCAGAGTTGAGTCGAGTTTGGAGTCTCTGGAGTGCAAGTCGAGTCTCGAGTGTAGTCTAGAATTTTAGTTTAGACTCGTTATTAGCCGCAGGCATTGCATTGTACAAAAGTAAACCCCTAGGTTCAACACTGCTTCAAATGATGAGCCTTTCGTTATAGAAGAACTTCCACTCTGAAAGGCAGAGCTGAATCAATACATGCAGTAAATGACTTGAAATGGATGGTTAGTCTGTAGGTCTTACAGCACGTATTCTAGCTAGCTAGCGCTATAGCTAATTCAGCTGAAGTTTTAGTTCATTTTAAAGGAATGTGGTCTGTAACTTCAGCTTGAGCTGAACTGGCTGTTGCACTAGCCAACAAATTTGTTATTCAACCGACATACTAGTTAGTCATTTCAAGTAGTTTTGACTTTCCTTTGAACGCTGCATTTGCTCCATGTAGAGCTTCATTCTGAACATCAGACTAAAGGTTCTCCTAAGCCGTGGGAGAACAGCACTGCAGTAATGACTGTGCATGACCATAGCAAAACACAAAATAGTTATGCATGTGATGCCTAATGGCTGAGACAGTGAATGCAAAACGACGCTGAAACCAAATACATGCTTGACGAAATGAAGATTTCAAATATTCTTTGTCTTCTAAGATCCCATGGTGGGCTCATGGTGCCAAGTCAGGCCTGTGGCACTGTGGCATTTGAACTTTTCTATTATTATTATTAGCCCGTTTCACCCTGAGATGCACTGCAGTCCCCAACATAGTGTGCGTTCTGACCCGCCTCCCCCAACAAACATCTGTGGGTCAGCGGTTACACAAAAAGAAAAGATGCCTGGTGTCTAGTTCAAGCAAAAGGGTAAAAAAACTACCTAAAACAATTTATTTTTTGTTTAGAATTATTTTTCAATAAGTATTCAATGCCTGTTTTGCTGTTGCAGTTTTGGCAAATTTTGAATAAACAATGGCCCGTTCGGGTCACGGCAAAAAGTTTAGTAAAACACAGCTGGCCTAAGGATTTGCTGAGATTTTTTAATATGGCCCTGTAAGTGGTTGACACCTCTGTTGTAGATGACGAACGTCCATATTTTCCACTAAAAAAAACTTTTGAGTTTTACGTTACGAATACGTCACGTCTCCGTGAGTTGTTTTTTAGCCGGTTGAAAAGCATAAATCTGATTACTGTCTGACTCATGTAGACCCAGAGTTTCCCCGTTATCAGATTACCCAAGTGCATGTAAACGTGTTGATCAGACTACTGAAAAAATCGTGATTTTCCGCAGTTATCGGATGATTAAGTGCATGTGAACACACTCAGTGTTTTAGTTTTGAGATAACATTTTGGTTTAGGTTCACTGATGTTTTTGGATTGTAAATAAAATGGTTACGTTTTGTGTGGCAGCCCCTGGTTCCTATCACCACCACTGTAAAGAAATCTGAATAAGTTGCTCTATAATGAACCATTTCACATCAGACCACTCTGAATGACTTTGTTTACTTCTAAACCTGTGAATTACGCAGAAATTTTGAAAATTCCCCTTTATGTCTCGAGTCGAATTGCGAGGCTTTTTCAACATTCAGCTTCAGTGCGACCCCATCTGTTTTATTTTCTTCTGTGTGTAAGCAAAATCTGTTAATATTAATGATTAATATAAATGTGTCTTCTTTCTTTCTGTTCTTCTCACAGTTCAGCGTTGGATGAGCACTCGCACCACAGTCACCCTCTCTACGGACACGGCGTGTGTAAATGGCCAGGATGTGAAGCCGTGTTTGAGGACTTCCAGTCTTTCCTCAAGTAGGTTCCAACCACACACACACAAAAGAAACACACACAAACCACCCCTCCCTCCTCATGAAGGTGAACCTGGTCCCGCCTCTCACTCTTACGCCATGTGTTTTAATAGCCTTCCTGTCTGCTCCTTCTGCCTTTCGCAATTCAGCCGCCCTACAGGTGGACCCCTCTGCCCGTGCAGGATGTGGGTGCTGGCTGTAGGTTCACAGTGTGTGCCGTCTGCTCGCTCTCCACTGTGGTTTTTCCTCCAGGCTCCTCAGGGCCTGGTAATTCCTGTGATAAGTGCCATTCCCATGGTGATTTCTGCCAGCTTGTCCCAAACAAACACGGGGGGGATGTTTATCCTCGGCAGGCCACACTCCAAGAGCACCACGGGTTTGCCCTTGTCTTTTATTCTGCGGACAGAGAGAGGGGCACTCCCGTTTTCTTCTTCCTTCTCTTCTGTCTTCCATTTCAGATCTTTTTTATTTCATCTCACTGCAGGTTTGCAGCAATGACAGAGAACAGAACATAAGAGTCAAAAGGGGACGCTTTGGGTAGCTTTGAAATCAGCTGTAATTTAATAACTTGCTCCATTGTTTGTTCCCAGTTGAATACATAGTTCCTCATTCTCATAACTACACACCTTACATATTAGTATAACAGTTCAATTATTTACAGTAATTTCCAGAAGAGCGGATTAGTATTTTTTTTTTTTTTATTTAGTACTTTAGTATGAGTATTTTCAAATGATGCTTAAGTATGTTTGTGAGGTAGGATCTACTTTAACATTTAGTAACTAATTTATTTTTTGTGTTTAACTTCATTCTGTTACATTCTGGTGACAGCATCTGTACCGCTTTGCAGTTGCTCACGCCTCTCACACTGGAGCTTTACCATGTTATTTTAGACAAAAAGGATCCAAAAAGAGAAGAATAAAGCCTAACAAACTCTGCTGATAAATGCTGGATGTACTAAGACTCTGCAGTTCTACTACTCAGGCAGTTTTTCCAAACATACTTTTACTGCAGTCATTATTTCGCTGCAGGAACAAAACTATTAGGACTATGTGTTTAGGTTGGTCTGCTAATTATAAAATAATAAGTCTTAAGATCAATAATAAGCCTGCAGTTTGAGGAGTTAACTGACTTTGGCCACAATAATATGAATTTTATTCTCATACTGTAGTTTGATGCAACAGACTTACTCGTCTGTGTGTTCTGACCCCTCCTTCTGTCTGAATATACAGTACTGTGCAAAAGAGAAAATGAAATGTGAAGCTGTTTATCTGGGCAATAAGCATTTATCTGTAAAACAGATTTTGTGATTAGAATAAATACAAATAAACACTCTTATGATCTCATGGGAGTGTGTTAGCTTAACCATTTCCAAAGCTTTTCACGTTCTCTCTGCTCGCTGCTGGTGGGCGTTTCATTATGGAAATGAAGGAACTGTAGTGAACATATCTGGGCTCTAAACAATCTGATACACTGTTTTTAGAATGCATCCATAATCCACACAAGCTTGAATGTTAGTCCTCTAAATCTCACTAGCAAAAAAGCTACCTTAGCAAGTGACCTACCAGCTTTGTATGATTGAAATTTTAGCATCCAGCACCGAGTTTATCAAATCAATCCTTCATCAAATTAAATCAGCTGCTGATGGAATGCAACAAATCCATGCGATGGCTGGAGTGCAGTGAGAAATCAAGAACCAAACCTGTGTTCTTCTTATTGCACTCTTCTGTACCACTAACTCTAACGCTACAATTAACCTAAAACCAAATCAAATCAAATCAAATCAAATCAGATTTATTGTCACATCACAAGAGTACAGGGACACAGGTGAGTGAAAAACTTGAGTGCGAGTTCCACAAATTATGCAGAGAACAGTATTTACACATAGATAAACAAAACTATAGATAGGATAGAAGAATAGATAAAACCAATTTAACTAAAATATATACATATAATCTTACACAATAACTTAAAAATAATAATATTGCACCGAGACATATAATATTGCACTGGGAATGTAGGGTGGGTGTAATCAACTATATACCAAAACCTAAACCTAACCCTCACCGTGATCCTAAACATAACCCTAGTACTAATCCTAACCCTAACTCTGTTGAGAATTAACTGAGTTTCACCAGATAGTTTTTTAATCATTTGAACATTCATAGAAAACTTTATGGGGGCTACTTAGATAAAGTGAGCCCAAAAATTCTTGCTGTTTACTGTGTTTGTGTTTATTTGTTTTCAGTCAAATGTTATGCAGTGTTTTTCTGAAAAACCACTAACTGTCAAGATAAATAGTTTTAAAATTTACTTGGCTGCCTAAGACTTCTGCACAGTAACTGTATCGCTGTTACCAAAAACCCTTGTATCTCCAAAATGGTAACTTTACAGAAAAAGGAAAAAGCCTACTTTAATTTTAATGTAAGTCAGTTTAATAATATTTTTTTCCCAAGTCATTTTGGGCTGTTTCTTTTGGTCCATTCTTCATGAAATTCACACACAGTGTAAAAGAGCAACAGGCATTTTCAAATTATGTCAAACTGAAAAACGTCAAAAATGGAGATACGAGGTTTTGTTCTGACAGCTGCGATATGTGAGTGAGTGAGCTTTTAGACTTGTGGCTGGAGTTTCAAGCATGGGAGATTTCTGCTGTACCTGAGCATGAGGTCTTTGGCCTCAGCCTGCCCTGTCTGTACTCTTGTCACTCCAGTTTAGTGGAAGACTTGGCTTCTCTTAATCTCCCACTGTGTGTAGTTGGGAATATATATGTGTGTGTGTGTGTGTGTGTGTGTATATGTGTGTGTAATCCAACACATAGTAGTGCTATGGCCACTGAAACGATGAGAACATGTGCAGCGTGGCAGCAGATCAATGAGTGCGTGTCGAGCCAGATTAGACCCACTCTAAACAAGATATGACACTGTTCCATTATCCAGGGCACAGAAGAGAGGCCCACAGAGAGAGAAAGAGAGAGGAACAGAGCCACAGCTGTTCTACTACTTCTTCTCAGTTGTTTTTTCTGTGTTTTAGCTCGTATTTCAGACTGGCTCCTTCTCAGCACAGTTTATTTAAAGAGCTGTTTAAAAAAACGGCAGAGGCACTGTAAACACTTTTCCAGATCACTTTGCAGATAATGCCGTAATCTATCTCGGCCTTCTGTTTACCTGAGGAAGAAAGCGTTAACGACTGCGTTTGCGCTCTCGCAGGCCGAGAGCAAAAAAGAGCATGTTCTTTTCGGCACCTCGCGCAGCAGATATCTAAACAGGAAAGCAAACGCCTGTTTCTCATATGTTACAGCATGCTTCGGGGTTTGGGAGTGTCTCTTTCAATCCATCTCCTCTTTTTTTCCTCTCTGGCTTAGCCCATTGCTTCATCATTTGTTTACAAAAATGAGTGGAATTAGCATCCGAGAGCTTAGCGAAGGAGAGAAAAAAAGCCCCTCTCCTTAAAAAGGGCCTAAGTGCACTCTGCAGTGTTTTCACAAGTGTTTTTATCGTGGCAACATCTTGTTTACTTTACTTGCCTGCCCTAAACTGCTTGGAACATGTTAAGAAAACATTTGGAGAGGCTCCACAAAAGCTGTCTTTGTTTAAGCGAGGCTGGGCGAGGGTTCACCCTGCGCAGAGAAGGTGTTAGCGCTCAACGCCGCTAAGCATTCCCACATGCGGCTCCTCCAGTCGGCTGCTTGACGGGCCGGAAGAATCGCAAATGTAACGGCGCGAATACGACCGAATGAAAATAACAAAGAGTAAATCAGGTGGGAAGATAAGGGGCCCCTGAAAGAGCTTCTTTGGGCTGGGACGGAGGGAGGCAAAGGCAGAAGCGTTTAGTCAGCAGAAGCCACTTAGCTTAGAGTAGTGTCGTGAAAAAGGTGAAGCGGCGCGCTAACATGGAGCAGATCTGCGCAGCCCGTGCCAACATCAACAACCCAATACTGGGCTGAGGTGTTGTTTTAAACCCGTCTGTTATTTGTTCTGTCTTTGAAAGAAAATATGACATACCTAGTCGTGCTGTCTCAATAAATAAAAAAGGCGGTGAGTCTAATCTCTGTTTGGGGGCGACTGGGCTGAAAGGAGAGGTGGGTTGCAGGTTTTGGGGAACAGCATGAGCAGCATTACAGGGGTCAGGAAGTCTGACGTCCGAGACTTTTGCAAGGTCAAGGCTGTTGACACTGTAAGCAGTGCCATGCAGAGCTTACTCTGTACAGCTTCTTGTGCATGCAGAATCAGATCTGAGCCTGTCCCCATAAAGCTACTCAGAGCAGGAGTGCTGATCTAGGATGTTCCTGTCAGTAAGGACTGCTACTGAGGTGATAGTAGCCCCTTACGTGAATGAAAGCTAACCCTTGAATGTTGCAAAAAACAGCTTGGTCAGGGTCATAGGTGAGGTAAAGTATGTAAAAATTAATTTTGCGGCCCAAAACTCAGCAAGATTTTTGTAATTCTTTTATTCCAGCACATACATAAACGAAGCTGTTGCATTAACAGGTTAAAAAAACTCTGCATATAAGCCACAGATAGACTTCCATGGATCAATATGTTGAATAAAGAGGCAGCGTCCTAATAAAACCTCCAGCGGTAAACTTTTAATGTATGTTGATGTTACAAGGTTTATTTCAACCAATTTGTCATGAAATGTTTTCAAATGGCTTAAATAATAAAAGGGAAAAAATTAGTGATGATAAATTGGCCAGAAATGTGAAGTAACAGAACAGACATTGATATGTGAAAACTACTGATTTAGTGATTTATTAATAGTTAACCCTGTCATGTTTCATGTTTTGAGATGTGAAATGGCATAATTAGAGAGAATCAGTTTCCCATGAACATTTGCAAAAATGTTGACTTTAGAACTGTTTTTTTTTTCCCCCTTCGCAATGTGTTAACATTTACCGTAGGCCTTGACTCTGTGTGCTTAAAATCAGCTACTGTCAACAAACATTTTAATATGCTAATACTGTGTGTGGACTTTTCCACCCTGAGGCCCCAAAAGAAATGTTTTGCATCTGAGAAAAAACAATTAAAGACAAATATTACCACTAAACAATAAGGATTCTTTGTTTTGATGGCAGATAAAAAAAAAAAAATACCAAGTAATCGATGTTGTTTTCTCTGCTGGGCATATTTGCTCAAGCAAATGTCTCTGTGTCAGTTTGGAACAATAAACAATGGAAGTCATCACAAGTTTGCCCGGTGATTTTTGCGATAGCTGTTTTCTCGGCATGGCCAACGCCACTGGGATCAGAGTATATCATTAAACCTGGAGCAAGAGCATGGCTTGCTTCAATGACATGTAAAATGCTGACTGTTTAAGCGACGTCTATTTAACTTGTTTTATTGTGGCAATTTACATTAGAGGCTGTCATCCTGCCAGGAAGCTTTTAAAACAGCCTTCGCTTGAAGTCCAGATAGTGACACATGCCAGCGCTCATAGTCTCTCCCGATGTCAATTCCACCGTTCATCCAGACCTCCTCTTGTCCAGACACTCTTCCGAGAGGCTGCATTAAGGGCCATTTGAATATTTCATTTCCTATTAATTATGCACTCTTACTCTACATGTCATTAGAAGGAAAGGAGGAGGGGGGAGGGGGGGAAATCATCCAGTGTAACAAAGGATGAAAGGGAGAGGAGAGGGCTCTCCGGGTTCCGTGAACTGCGAATTCCGAAGCATGTCACGTAGGAGGGTCTTCATTGAAAATCCTGTGGCAGTCTTCGCCCATTTCTCTTTTCGGGGTGTGATTCTGGGTGGAAGTATGGAAATATTTACTTGATCTCTCTTTCACTCTCAGCCTCCAACACATCAGCAGCACCTTATTTAAAAAGGCTCGTGCTGAAAGTCGAGAGAACATGAATTCCAGCCTGGTTTAAATCTGTTTAACACCTTAAGCATCAACTGAAATGTGAATCATTGTCAGTTCAATTCAGTTCAATTCAATTCAGTAAGCTTTATTAGCAGGACCATATTCAGTTACAGTACTGCCAAAGCATCATCAAGAAGGAACAAGAAAAAAATGAACATCTAGAACATTACAGAGTATAAGAACTCTTGATTTCATTTGATAGAAGAGTAATTACAGAAAAGAACAGTAAAAATAGCAGTTTGGAATTGAGTTGTAAAGAAAATTAAGAGGAAAAAATAATAAATAATAAAATGTCAATATATACATAAAGGTGTTCACAAACAGGGCAGTTTTAGATATCTTTGTGTGTAGTGTTTGGGTGGGTCACTCACTGTCCCTCATATTGTGGCAGGCAGATATATATCGTGCGGCTAAAGCGCTGCTCTCTCTCTTCTCTCCTAATGGGATGGGCAGTTTGTTATTAGCACAGAAACAGTTAAATTGTGGGTGAATCTTTTCAAATTTCAAAATATTTTTGCATAATTGTTTTTTTCACACTCTGTTAGAAAGTGCAGCTCTGTCTCTACAGTGTTGCTGTTGCATTGCAGACAGAGTCTCTGAGTTTTAGCCAGCCAGGATCTCTTATAGCAGCCAGGCTGTCATTATGAAGCAATGAATTGAAAAGCAGAGGTTGGCAATATGACGAAGTTTATCATTATCATGATAAATTACATCACGATACACTTTTCCAAACACTGTCGGTACATAAAGAACACTGACCAACTGCAGTTTTCATTATCAGGAACATAGTTAGTCCTGTTTATTTAGACTGCATGCAGTGCAGTAAGCTAAACATTGTGTAAAAATCATTGCACTGGTAGTTTTTGATATTTTATGAAATTAGACGTAAAATTTGTATGCGTTATTGCACCAGCAATATGAAGTCATATGAAATATGTTAACACTCATACAAATCCTACTTCCATACATTTGCCTCGTCAACTGCAAAACTTCCCTCGTGTCTATTTCGTCCACTGTATTTAACGTCTGTTGCCTCAGCAACAGTGCTACCACTAGGTAACCGCCATCTTTTAGATTTATTAGGCCATCTCTGCGAGCGCTGGTATCTCTTCTTGCGGCTGCCGCTCCTGTCTGCCAGTGAGTTTTTTGATTTGCTATAAATGGCAAAGATGTGTGCGTGTGGGAAGTAGACAGGCCCGAGCGACGGAATCACACTTTCTTTCTCTCCACCATCGCTCCGGTTCAGCTCCGCCAGCCCCCGCCTGGTGACAGTGACCTACATGGTCAGCAGCGATGCGATATAATTTATGATATATATAATATATTGGATCCATTAGCGGGCATAATGAAGTGGCGAAATGAAAGGGTATTTGTGAAATCAGTTCAAACATCCTGCTCGGCTTATGATTAAATGATTAATGAAATGCCCCTGCATAAGCATTTTTCGAACTCGTAATTCATGCAGAGCCTGATAAAAATCCTCCAATCATATTTCCTTCACTGGCGAAAACCTTATCTCCTCCATTTTATATAAATCACCACAAAAAGAAGGAAAGAGAAAGACTTGCTTGGGCCAGCTACTTATTTAGATTAGTTATAAACGTGGTGGGGGGTGGGGGGGGGTGGTGCGGGAGAAGGAGAAGATCTTGGCGGCATAAAATAATCATGCATAATTATATTCATAATTCAAGTTTATGACAGATTCCATCTCTCTTCTCCTTGTTGTCCTTTGGCTTTTTCTCCTGGCTTCATTTAGGTCCTCTTCATCTCAATGACATAATTAACTGGAAAAGCCACTGAAAAATAAGAAGAATCCATTTACGTTTTGAAAGGGGAAGAAATGGGGTGCAGGAGTAAATGCCAGCCTGATGCACAATATCTATTTCCATCTAAAATTTTAAAATTATTATAAGTAACTTATCAGTTTCTGTAAATATATCTACATTTTTTTTTGTTGGAGAAAGTCATGGTTTTGGACGTGGACATGCCTTCATTTACCTTATAATTACCTTGTAATTTTATGTATGCGTGCCTCTGAGGCCATTTTCACTTTTTTCAACATGGAGAAATAAATGGTCACCCTGCATAACAGGCAGATAATGTAATTCAATATTTTACCATGAAAGTTTTATCAAATGTTTAATAGAGGGCTGTAAAACGTGGTGCTAAAATGAAGTCTGTCTCTCTTTTTCTAGACATCTGAATAACGAGCATGCGCTGGACGACAGGAGTACAGCCCAGTGCCGGGTACAGATGCAAGTAGTTCAGCAGCTGGAACTGCAGGTAACGTCTCGTCTCTCCTCTGTCATCCCTCATTTCATTCCTTCTTTTCCAGGCTCTTCATCAGTCCATCTTCCCCCCTCTGCCCCCTCATCCCACCCACCATGTCTCTTACTCTCTGACCAGTGGCTGAGAGGTTGGGGGGTGGGGGTGGGGCAGGGGAATAAAAATGAAATTATTTTGTACATTTGTGAGTAACTAGTCATTAAAAATGTGTTATGTATGCATGACAGCCAGCCAAAGATATATGGAGAGCCTGGGGCCTTAGTCCAGAAGATAATTACATTTTGAATTTTACTGGGTTTTAAAGTCATTTACGACTTTTAACTATTTGGCACCACAATAAAACATTCAGCGAGACACTGAGAGAGCAGCGGCAGCGGGCGTTCTCCGTGTCGTTCTGCATATCGATCGACAAAAGTTGTTAATGCTGCTCCATTTTATGGAAAAAAAACACACTTTTCATGCATTTCGTAAGTAAAATACTTTTGATTAATACATGCAATGAGTGGTTTTTGCACTAACAGTCGTAATGGCACCTAATGTATATGCATAAGGATATTAGTTATGCATGCATTCAGGGGAGGGAAGGTGATGTTTCCACAGTGACGTTCCATTAGAGCAGATTAGCAGGAACGAGCGAATGCTGCAGCCCTTGAAAATCTTAAGAGCAGTTTAGTGTTCCACACCTAGCACATCCTGCATCTCTGGCAACAACCCCCCAACCCCCGGTTTCACGCATCAATGTGAATATAAAGGGAACAATCGCTTGATTCATCTGTATGTTAATCTACTGTATGCGTCTGTTTATCCAACAATGCAGTCCATTCAAACGGCTCAGCAGTACAAACAAAATTAGGCTTTTATGTGTGGGTTTGGCACACAGAAGAAGTTGAAACCTTGAAGGGGGGAAAAAAAAAGTTCAGTGTGTTTAGAGGGTGTGCCACAGATAGCTTTTAGCTGTGTTAGTTTCTGGCTAGTTTCAGACAGAGAGAAGGAGGGAGGTTAAGAGTTAGGAAGTTAGCAGACTCATCCCCACCCTGTACAAATCTCTATAATGTGAACTGGCATCCACGAAAAAAACAGACTGAAAGGAGGTCAAAGAGAATGAAGTTTGGCTGGAGAAACCCTTTTGGGTGAGGAGTCTCTGATTATGAAGGCTTCTGAGGTCAGCTTCAAGGGCAGTCTGTAAAGCCGCAACGTGTAAGCCTGTCAAATCTTCAACCTCCCACAAGGAGCTGCTTGTTTGTTGTTTGATGTTGCAACGATGAACTACTGCAATTAAAACAGACTGCTCTTTTGCAGAATATGGTCTGCAGCATCACTCATTTGTTCATCTCTTATGTCCTTTCTTTCTTCTTTTGTTCATTAAAGTTAGCGAAAGACAAAGAACGTCTGCAAGCTATGATGACTCACCTACATGTCAAGTCCACGGAGCCCAAACCCACCCCACAGCCAGTGAGTAGCACTACTGTCATCATTTCCTCTCATTTCTCTACATGTAATTGTAAAATAGTTGTGTTTTCACCATTGTGATGCATGCACGCTGTAAGAAAACCACAAAGTGAGCAAGAATTTATTAGAGTGCTGAATTTAGTGCTGCATGACATTGATACAGTTCAATACCACAATATTTTTCCAAATACATAAAAGGTATACTGTGATACTGTTAAATTTCTTTAATAAGGATACTGAAATGCTTCCTTGAGGCTTGTTCTCTATGTTAAAAGAATGTCAAACCTGGCACAGCTTGTTTTGATTAGACCTCATTTGATTAGACACAAACCACACTTTTATTATTATTATTGGTGATACTTTTTACATATTTATGTATTAATCCTTTTATTTTTAAATCAAAACCGCAGTCAGGAAGAGTGCTATTTTCAATTTTAATTATAACCTACATTATTCACAGTTGTCTTAAGTTATAAATGGATAGATTTGCAGAGCTAGTGAACTGGCAGTCTGGCACACCACATTCAGCACTCAAGCCTCAAGCCATAAAGATGGCTATGCTGGTCTTCTGGGCCAAGAAAAAAAGACCCAATTGCAATGCTGGCCAGAAAAATTGCAATTAGATATTTTCCACAAATCATTTAGCTCTATGTTTATTTATTGGTCATTCAAGAAATTCACCAAAAAGATTATGTAAAACAAATAAACAATAAATAAATAAATAAAATAACTGCTTGGCATGGATATAATTCTGATTATATATCAAATATATCGTTAAAAATATTGCTGAAACAGAAGAGCAGTATCACAGTATGTCTATCACTTCATACGGGTATAGTCGATGTATCACCCAGCTCAAGCTGCAGCCATGGCTTTTTGTAATATCATCAATTACCCTCATAGCCAATCCAACTCAATACTAGTGTTATTCAGTGAATGCAGGAACTCTTTGCTGGATAGAAGTGTAAAAAGACTTGTAAAAATGCCCCCCTCTTTTCCTCTGTAGTACTCTAATCATTTATTTACAGCAGGAGGCTCTTCTTCTATTGACAGGCTGCAGGGCTAAAAAGTTGAAACGCGGTGCCCGGAGACAGCGCTGGACAATAGCCTGCTCGCTAAAGCCTTTGTCTCACAAACACATACAGGCATAGACACCCACACACCCACAGATTGTGTGGATTAGCGTGTGCCCAGGCACAGTGACACGGGACCTTTGTGTAGAAAGAAAGTGAAAGCATTGTTAGCTCGCTACCACGTCCCTCAGGGGATGTAGGACCTACGTGTGAGGAAGCAGGGTGAAACGACCCAGTTGAGGCGGATTACTGTATTACTCAGCTGCCTTTTTATCCAGGTGGTTAGAGACGATTGCACAGAACAGATACAGGCACATAGCAGACTTTTAATTTGTTTACTTTTTTTTTTTTTTAAACCCAGTTTTTGTCAAGTAATAGAACTAGACATGCCCTGTGGAGAAAAAAAAACATTCATTTTGAAAATGTTTGTTTTGTTTATTCATTTTAGAAAATGTATTAAGTCTGCCCAGTTGTACACATTAAAATATTAGATGTTTTTGTGCAGTCGCATTTATTATTCTGGCACATTAATCTCATTCCAAAAAGTAACTTCTTATTTATCAACAATTCATGGATTTTAAGGGAAGCATCACCTCGGGCTAAGCCTGTTTATCTGCGTGTGTCTGTGTCTGTGTGTTTACCATTGAGAGTGTCACTAAGCATTCTTGTCAGAAATCTGACCTTTTCACTGTCCATAATTAAGGCCAGCTTTTTTTCTCCTTCTTCTTTTTTCTTTTTGTTTATTTCTTTAGCAGCTTGGAGAGTCAAAGCCAGTATAATTAGATCACAAATTACCATTTAATTAATTTCTGTGTGAAGTCTCATTTTTTGCGGGCGTGCTGGAAAGCACCCAAATGGTAAAGGAAACAAAGAGGAGGCCATTACGCGGCTGTCTGGCCTATTGTGGGGGCTCCTCGCCATTTGTGATGGAGGAATATGGATGAAACAAAGCTAGCTAATCCAGAGCGTGAGTGCGTGTGCTGTACGGACATATCTGCTCTTGGAGGTGATGTTTTTCAGCTACATAAAAACACTCGTGCACGCAAGTTAATCATGCATATGACTGTCATTATTATATATAGAACTGTTAAATAAATATGGCTCAAGTGATTATTTTAAAGCCCTTAATTTGGCAGTAGATATCCATGTAAATCAAAAAATATCCCATAATTCACACGACAAAGGATTTTGTGCACCTCTTCCAGATGTAACAAGAGCAGAAAATGAAAAAAGGCTGTACGGAAACCCATTAACTGCTTCAAAAAAATATGCATGGTGACAATGCCGTGTCAAGGATGAATCATTCGTTAGCAACAGCCCTCCGCGTTTCTTTATTATATACCTGTCCATCAAACGGGGCATCAGGATGGTAATGAGTGTTAATAGGCTATGTGGTAATTGTGCAGGCCGCTCTGTATCTGTGGGCTGATGCTGGGGGAGGGGTTGGGGGGGTTACATGTTAAACACTGTCTGTTAGCTTTCACCTGCCTTGCCCCCCGTCTACACTGTCAGCAGCGCCATTATCGTGCAAAATTAGACATCTGATACCTCCAAAGCAATTGACAGCCTTGACATTTCATTAATTTGTTAGCACAATCCGTGAACAGTTGCGGCCCGTCGGCCAAAAATCCGCCTTCTCGCGCCCTCTTGCGCTGTTTCTCTGTTTCCCTCCCCCTCCCTCGCTATAGACCTCACAGAAATCATGTTTAATTTGGAAACATGGCCTCCTTTGGCAAATTAGCAATTAGAACAATTTGGTGAGGGAAATATGTATTTGTGTCATTAGCTGCTGCACACACACACTCTCACAAATTAATACTAAGAGCACCGGGTCAGGCTTGAATTTTCCACTCCAGTAGAAAAGCAGCATCGAAAACCCAGCACAGCTGCTGGGAGATCCACTGTACCACTTAGAGCTCAATGCTTAATTAGTTTACCTTATAGCCATTATTACTAATAACCCTCCTCCCCATCCTTTTGTTTCCACTTGATAAAGGAGGGAAGAACCCTCTTTCTCCAGAATGTTCTGCACTCATCTTTTGCCAGCCCGGTCCTGCTGAGGAGGGTCACTTAGATGTGGCATTTAATCATGGTATCACCTCCATAAGTAGCCACTAATTAGGGTCCTTCTAATACAGTTGCAGCCTGTAATTAGTCTAGTTTGGCCTCTCTGTCTCTGGCTTATTAGGGGCCTCTCAGGGGTGGGAAACAAACGCTGTCAGCCGCCAAGACTGCTTCTGCCTACATTACTGGCCAAAGCTCAGGCAAGAGAGGTAGAGATGCCAGCAAATCAAACAAAAGGGACAACAGGGAAGATGCCTCTGCATCGCTCCTGTAAACATAAAAGGTGGAGAGAGTCCACGCAGAGCACCCCATGTTTACGAACATCTGTAAACCGGTGCTCCACCCACACTCCTCAGAGCTCCTGAGGTGGATTCAAGGGCATGTTCGCAATTAGCGGCAGCGCGCTGGTGTGTATCATTCCGCAAAGCCAACCAGTGATTAACACTCCAATCCTGTCTCTTTTTTTTGTTCTGTGCCTTTCAGCTCAACCTGGTTTCCAAGTCCGCGCCTGAGGCCTCGCCGCCCCTCAGCCTGCCCCAGACGCCCACCACACCCACGGCCCCTCTCACGCCCCTCTCCCAGGCCCACTCGGTCATCACACCCACCAGCTTACACACTGTGGGGCCCATCCGCAGACGTTACTCTGACAAGTACAACATGCCCATATCCCCAGGTAGCCCTTTCTCATAGATTTTGTTGCTCACAGGGTTTCTGGGCTACAGGCGCAAACCTCTGAAAAGCTCTTAAACTTCCACCAATTTTTCAAATTTTCTGCATAATTCCATTGTTGAGATTTCTTTACAAAACGTTCTCATAGGAAATAAAGGCTAAGATGTCCACAATGCAGTATAGGCATTTTGTTTGTTATCCAAAAGATGTTTTCTGTTCGTTTACATGTAATCCTGATCATGGTAAAATAGCGGTTTATTTTGGTATTATTTTGCCTTACAATACCCTGCATGTACCCCTCCACTTCTCAAAACAGTGTCTTAACAGTCTTAACAATTTCATGTAATAGCTTTCTGTGAGGGAGCTTTGAAAGCATAATTCCTATCACCACCGCTGTGAGCAATTCTGACTTGGTACTTTTCTTTAGAACCGTGCTTTTCACATCAAATGACTATGAATGACTTTGTTTACATCTTGACGATTTAGTTATGCAGAAATTATGTATATCGCTGTTGTCGGAAGAAAGCCTCGTATCTCCAAAATGATAACTTTACAGGTGAAGGAAAAAACATACTTTACTTTTAATGTAAGTCAATGGAACCAGACTTCTTTCCAAGTTATTTTGGATGATTTCTTTTGGTCCATTCATCATGAAATTTACACACAGTGTAAAGGGCAACAGACATTTTCAAATTATGTCAATAACCGAAAAACGACAAAAATGGAGTTGCAAGGTTTTGTCCCGACAGCAGATATATATATATATATATATTTAGTATAATGTATAATAAGTATAATGATTTGCATTGTTGTAATTTTAAGAATGTTGTTTGTTACAGATATTGTTCAAAACAAGGAGTTCTACATGAATGCAGATGTACGTCCTCCGTTCACATATGCATCGTTAATACGGCAGGTACGAACTTGTTCCCTGGGTATTTATCCCTCCACAGCTTTAATGCATCCTCACTGCATTCCACATAAATATTCACTATGCACACATACCACTTTTTTTTTTTTGACCTTTTTACTTTTTCCCCCTGAACCTACCCAGTTAAATTTCAAATACAATTTAGCCCTGTGACACATGATTAACCATCTGCAAATGGGCGCAAGGGTACTCACCAGTCAGAGAGCAGGGTGTGGGAGAAAGGGGAAAAAACTCATATATAACAATTGCTTTTGATGAAGCATTACAGCCAGTGTGATTATTATGAAATTCATTTCACACAACAGCGGGGCTGCAGCGTCTTTAAGATGCCCAGTCAATTATCGGAGCCAGCCTGCTAATCTGCCATCGCACAAGCATTAATCTGGGCTTGGGGATAATTGCCGTGCTGTAATCTGGCCCCAGCGAAATAGTTTTCGCTTGTTCTGGTCGCTTAGCGGAAAAGGATGTATTCAAATCGCGGCATTTGAATAAGGCCGCGCAAAAAGCGTTCGGTAAACAAAGTAGCTGGTAGCTGGGAGCGGATCAGCACAGACCTGTTTTACATGCTCCATTAAGGGGAATGTGGCCTGAACACACAACCCCCATCTCCCTTTGTTTAAGCTAGGGTTTGAAACGGAAGTGGAAAATGAATTGTTGCTTATCAGCACTTGTGTGGATGTGTGTTTGTGTGTGCGTTTTTTCCAGGCAATACTCGAGTCACCGGAAAAACAGCTAACACTAAACGAGATATACAACTGGTTCACGCGAATGTTTGCATATTTCAGGCGGAATGCAGCTACGTGGAAGGTAATTTCTTATTTCCATTTCTTATTTCCTGCTCTCTCCTTTCTGGCCTGATTTAATGTACATTAATGAGGACTTCATTCCATTCTAATTGCATACAACACTGTTCAAGTTCAAATCAGTCAGTCTTCTGAAAACATATGTTCAAGACATGGCAAAAAATTAATCAAATTCAGTGCTGAGTTTGTTGAAAGTTTATAGCTTGACTTTGATCCAACTCCATCCTGAAGGGCTGTTTGATGATTTCCTTGCTCTAACACATTTACTATACCTGGTAATTAACAATAGTAATTAGAATCAACTGTGCTGAGAAGAGAGATCACCAAGCCCTGCAGGACGAGTCTGCACCTCTGTATTAAGGAGGTGCCAGTGAGACATGGCAAAAGAAAAACCACCAGTAGGATTTAGGGATCATAGAACTTCTACTGGACCACACACACCAGATGGAGTAAAACCAGATGGAGATAAAGAAATAGAATGTGAAATTAAGACCGAAAGGGAGTAAAAATGTGAAAAAGAGAGAGTGAGAGAGAGACAGAGAGAGACAGGCGCCCTTAACTCTCTGCTTCAGTAGTCACTGACAGCTCTTCCACAGGGGCGCATTGTAGTAATAAACACCAACTCCCACACCAACACAGAGAAAAGGTCACGTGCAGTACACATGTGGAAAAATCTCATTTAATACAAAGATATTCAAAGCCTAATAAGACCAAGCCTTAGATTATCTGGAATCTTCCATTGTGTTTCAGTCTCTGTACCAAAACAGAGAACACATTTTATGACTGCATTTTTCCTCCATTCAAATTATCATGAAAAAATAGCATTTTCCAAATATAATTTAATTTAATGATCCTTAGAAGGAGCTGGAAAAGGGGCCCTCTCATTCGAGTTTATTTTAAAAAAGTATTTTTACGTTTACTCTGGACACTTTTCAGTAGCTTTGGGGGAAATCTGGTCATTTGAGTAGGATGTTTTCCTCTCGCCAGCATTTTTTTTTGTATAATATTTGCATTGAGCTCAAGCGTTCGAGTTTCCGCTTTGCATCGAGGCAGGAAATGATGAACTATCTCCTACTTTTACCACAAGCGAATGATAAAGCACTGTGCTGACAAGCCTGCCACGCACAGCCATTTGTCAATGAGTGCTTTATTTACTAAATATTGCTTGCGTACAGTACAAATGGACCTGATGAAAGGTAAATTATGAACACGCAAACAGTGAAGCATGTTATAATTGTGTAGTTTCCCCTTATTGTTCAGCTTCAGGGGCTGAAGGCGCAGCTAAGAGTGACGGGCCAAAAAGTCGTGTTTATTTGACTAACTGTTTGTGCAGTCTGGAATTTTGTTTGCAGTCTAAGGTGGTCCATTACAATTGGCCCCCTGATCACTGGTTCCTTTGTACTTTTAATGTTTGGAGGAAGAAGGTGGAAGCCATATGTCTAACTTGACTGCGTTTAGGAGTGATTCCAGTGAAAACATGCAATAAAAGAAAGTCACATTATTGAAACCCATGTTATGGAGTGCGGCTGTATGTTTGATTCACTTCTCTTTGCACTGATAGACCTTTTCTCTTCTTTTACACCAACTGCAGAACGCAGTCCGGCATAACCTTAGTCTTCACAAGTGTTTTGTGCGAGTAGAAAACGTTAAAGGGGCGGTATGGACCGTCGACGAGCTAGAATTCCAAAAGAGAAGGCCTCAAAAGATCAGCGGGTAGGTTCCTCCCCCCCCCCTCGCATAACCTGGCTGGCCATTCCTGTCTCTCTGCTGTTGATCAATGGGATGCGATTCCATGTCATCATCTTGTGTACTGTGCTGCCTCGCTGACCCCCTTTGCTAGTATTGGCGTGCATCTCTACCCGGCTAGTGCCGCTTGCTGGGTCCCACAGTGGCTTGTGCTTGGTCATGCATTCCCTATCCCTCTCACATGACCATTTTCTGTCTGTCTGTCTGTGTGTGTGTCTGTCTGATCATTGCATCTGCCCTGGCTGCTTCCTTCCCTTCCCCACCTCACTTGGTGCCCCTTCATTTCCCAGGGTGCTGTGCGCACCAATCTCTCCCTACATAAGTGCTTTGTAAGAGTCGAGGATGACTTTGGGTCCTTTTGGACCGTAGACGACGAAGAGTTTAAAAGGGGCCGCCACGTACAGCGAGGTCGCCCACGGAAGCATGTCCTCGACGACAACTTTGACGAGCTACTCGTACAGTAAGCACCGCCCCCCCCTGCCCCGCCCCCTCCAACTACATCCTTGCATGCTTTGCTTCTGTGTGCCATATGCTCATCTTGTATGTAGCTTTTCATATGCCCCATTAATAACCCTGCCTTTTTCTATGCTATGTGAAATGATTCTTCAGACTTAATGTGGGTAATCTGTGATGCAGAATCTGATGAGATTAGAGTCTGGCAATACATTTGTAAATATTGATTTTGTATACCTTTTATTGGACATTAGATTGCTGTCTAAATATGAGTCCTGAGTAGCCATTAATCCTCACACAGTTGAAGTACTATTCAGTGTTTCCTTCATATATTGGAAACTCTCCTTAGTGATTTATCAATACATGCTTTTTCTCAGATTGTTGATACTCCTCGAGTCCACATAAGTGACGACCGAGAGTGTAGCTTTGCCAAGGTGAATGATTGCTTCCTCTTCTCTTGGTGCTTTTAGACTGAACTGTTTGTGTTCTGTGTATGTGGTCATTTCTACAGAAGTCCAGCTCTAGTGAAAAATATTCAGACCAATCTGGGATATGGTCCTGCCCTCTCAGCTGCCTTCCAGGTAATACAAAAAGCATCTGTCTAGACGCTTTAAACTTGAATGATTTCTGTTTTTTCATGCAGGCATTCAATGATTTTCCTGGGCTATAGTTTAGAGGAAAAAGCCACTAGTTTTCTTTCCTTCTTGGTAAAGACCAGTGTCTTTTTCCATAATCCTAACTGGGCTTACTACTTTTCATTAATTATCAGCAAATTATAAGCATTAATTACCAGCTGCGAGATGCAGATCACTGCATGAACGTTTTCCTCTCCTTCCTGACTCTTAAATTCCAATTCTGCACATCTCTTGTCAGGCTTCAATGGCAGAAAACAACATACCTCTATACACTACTGCTTCCATCGGAAGCCCCACTCTTAACTCGCTTGCCAACGCTATCCGAGAGGAGATGAATGGGGCCATGGACCACGGCAACAGCAACGGTAGTGACAGCAGTCCCGGACGCTCCCCCCTGCCAGCTATGTGAGTATTTTACACCCTTAGCTCTCGCACAGTATTTGTGTATGCTTGCATTTCTTTAAGTATGTAAAGGTTTCATAGTTAAGGTGCCTCAAAATGGTGAGCAAAAGCACAGAAGGTTTTGATGCAATGAAAATTCCACTCAACACCCACTATATAAAATAACACAGACACATTCAGTACATGAAGGAAGTTCAGCTCACAAGCTGTTGTACTCTGCTCGAGACCCAGTGCTGACTTCTTCAAAAGGAAACTCCACCTTTTGGAAAGTCCTTAGTCTGGGGCGGATCATAAAGAAAATAGCCTCTCTCGCTCTCTCTCCCTCTGTTATTTCAAGCGCTGAGTTTATAAATTCCCTTTTAGCAGAGGTCAATAATGTGCACTGTACTGTGCTGTGTTACTTCATAATTATTGCCTCCATTTTGTTTAAATATTTACAAAAGTCGTGAATAGAAGATGACAGAGCAGCCCTCTTTTCTGCACCCGTACGAGACTAACAACACGTCCGAAAAGCCTCTAAGCAGTTGAGAGAAAAACAATGAGAAAAGGAGGGAAGCTACGGAACGTGCCAAGATTTCCATGTAGCTAAGCTGTGGTTAGTCTGAAGACCGCATCTCCCTATACACTTGCTGTATAGGAGTGACTGCTGAAAGTTGTTTGATGCCTAAAAAAATATGGCGCAGACGGCACAGGCTCCAGATGTTGGTGGACAGATCGCTGATTTGTTGCTTGGCGAGATTTATTGGCGTTTGTGTAAAATATCTGGGAGCAGGAGGGGAATTTCAGCACAAAAAGCTGAAAAAATGAGCACCACAGTAATGAACTTGTGGAGTTGTGGGGGAGAAAAGTGCTTGTGCTAATCATTGGGAATATAGCTGCAGGCATGGCTGCATAGCAGGATAGGTGAAAAAAAACAGGATGGTATGCTAGCCTAGAGGCTGTCTGCCTTTTAGCCTCTATATCACTTTTTCCCCTCTCTGGGCACATTCACTAACTTAACTGATAAACAAAAAGTATTCTTAAATGGGTACTTAGGCCCAAAATGTGAAAAGATTAACTCCCAAATCTCACCAAAATCTCACCAAATCTCTTTTTTAATATTGATTACATACCAATTCCATTCATGTCTTGGTGAAATATATGGCAATTTAATGTTATTGATTTATGATTTAAATTACCTTTAAAGATGCAAGTAAAATATGAACTGTCCCATCTTTGGACACAAGACTTTACACATATAATAACTGTATTATCTTTTAAGTGCATAATGAACAACCACAGGCAAACTAACTTGTGTACAGTTTTGTTCATTTGTCCTAGCACTGGATCATTGGCAGGCACAAAAAACAAGTGCTAAGCACTCAAGCCGCTTACTTAGATAAGTGTCCATCACACCGGTCTGGGGCTTTTTGCATTAGAGATGATAAGGGCAATTCATTTTCTCTCCCTATGTAGATACTCTGCAATCACTGGCTTCAACCTTAATTACAAGCACAGGGAATGCCAAAGCAGCGTGTGGTTCACTAGCATAATAATAACAATTTCATGTTTGCCCTGCAGCTAGAGATTGAGAACCGGAGGCAATGGGACTCGTGGAGTTACTTTGATCTGAAACCGATAGAACGGGAAGAGTTTGCTCCGTTTTTATTATTCACTCCCAAATATGGTGTTTCATTAGCATAGCAGTCTCCTTACTGACTCTGGCTGCACAAAGCTTGTATGAGAAGAACTTTTTTCCCCCCACTCCCAGACTGATTGGAAAAAGAAGTGGAAAAAGAAAAAAAAACAGTTTGTCACTAATTAACATTTGCCAAATGTGCAGTACCAAAGGCACGTAGTTTACAGTGCATTCGCAACACTGATTAACTCTGAGATTCTCCTACAGCTACTTCTAATATTTCTTCTCTTTTTCCCCCCTTATTCTCCTCCACTCCAGTCAGGGCTCGCGTTCTAGCTCGCTGTCCCCGCAGTGTTTCTATAATGAGAAATTTGGCAGATCTCATCTCTGTGGAGAATCCCTTGCCCAGACTGTGGGCCGGGGGGTTCATGTTTTTCCTTGTTTACAACTGACAGCGTTATTATTCTCGTAAGGGCTCTGTTTCTTATCACCCTGCGTTTGTGTCGAGCCTGCTCGTCACCCTCCCCACCGAAACCCCCCCTTCACCCCACCTCCCCCGTTTTCTCTCTTGCCTCCCTGCCAGCGCTTTTCTTCCTCCCTTATTGACACTTTGGTGAGGAGCCGCATTCATTTTGTGCGCATTTAAAGCGTGCGTGGCTCTGTCTGCTCGCCGTGTTGTTGTGGGCTGCCAGCTTGAAGTTGATTAATGACGGAACCTCGCGCGGGGTCGTCCTCCAGGGACCCGCCTCGCAGGTTGTGCATGTTAACGAGCGGGAAGAGGAACACACAGCGCGCTGATCCAACGCCACCGGGTGCCTGACAGACGGCCCCCTCTCTCTCTCTCTATTCTCTCTTTTTGCTGCTACTCGCATTCGCCCGCCCGCTCGTCGGAGTCCATTCTCTCCTCTCCACGTCACACGTTGTTAATCTCCCTCATTTATCAATTCCAAGTGAATACCCCTGTTGTTGGGTAGTTGCGGAAAATAAAGCGCCCAGGTTTCCACTGGTGCTGGAAAAGCTGAAAGGCGACTGAAGTTATCAGGAACACCAGTGTGCCATCCCTGTTAGTGTTTCATTAAAAGGACAGTCATTTGTTCCTCTATTCTGTCCCCCCACCCGCCACTACACACCGTCCGTGCACAGTGTGTCTTTTAAAGATGAGAACGGAGGCTTTGTGGAGAAAAATAATAATAACCTTGGCCTGTTGCCTGTGTTCCTTCCATCTGCAGGCATCACATTAGCGTTAAAGAAGAACCACTGGACCCAGAAGAGCATGAAGGCCCTCTGTCCCTGGTGACGACAGCCAATCACAGTCCAGACTTCGACCACCACAGAGATTACGAGGACGACCACGGGAACGAGGACATGCTGTAAGGCCTCTTTCCCTCGGGTCTTCCCCGGAGGGGCCAAACTTAAACTGAAATCATCATCAAGACCACTCCAGGCCTAGCAAGCCCAAGGCTGGATTCCCAGTCCTTTTTGTTGACAGCTATAAAATAGTTCTGATTTACTCTTAGTGCCATTAAACATGAGATAAACATGATATGAGAAAAAAAAAGAATCTATTCCACTTGGGAGTATTTTTGATTTGTTTCTACTTTTTGGGTTTAAAGACAAGACCAAGTGCATAATTTCTACTCGCGTTCGATAAGGAGCCATTTGGTACTTGGGGACTACATCTTCACATTGCCTGGCCTGGTGAGACCAGAGTGGACACACATGTGAAAGCGTTCGCAGAGAAAGACTGCCTGACTGCCCTCTGAGTCTGCGTAACACTGATTACAAAACTACAGAGGAGCACACACTCAGATTATTAGCCCCCAAATGGACGTCCTTCACCCAGAGCGTGTGCGCAAAGGTGTATGTGAATTTAGTTAAATGTCACTGCCTTCAAGTCATCTTAGGTTTGCTTCCGTCACCACTGGGAGATATTCAGTAAGTCTGGTGGTTTGAGGGCAAATAATAAAAACTTTGTGTCCCCTCTGTTGTTCTATGCTGTTATTTGCTATATTATTATTATTATTTTTTTTTGTTTCCTGAAACTGATCAGACCTCATGCCCATTGTTGTGGAGATTCTGTACGATCAGCACTTGATAATGAATGTGTATAGTTTCTTTCCGTGGTGTTTAATTCCAATTTTCCTTTCCATTTTTTTTTCAAAAAGAGGAACAGAATGTCACATTTTACCATGTAGTATTTTTCTGTCATTTATTCCTCATTTCAGATCGCCACCTCACTGTCTCAGACGTACACATACACATACAGACAGACACAAGCAGTTGAAGTCCATCTGCAAATGCACTACTCGTAATGAAGGCTCTCTTTCCACGCATCAATGAAGTTTAATTTTCACAAGGGAATGAATGACAGAGAAATCAACGCAGGTTACGACTTATCATTATAAAATTATACTTTCAAAAATCCTCCCTTTTGTGGCAGCGTGTTAGCTGCAACCGAATCGCTGATCAAAAACGCTGGTGTGAAGGGGGGAAAAAAATTAAATGTCAGAATAGAGGAGGAAGCAGCAGCCAAGAGATAATAGTTAGACAAAAACTAATTGTGATTCCCAAACGAAACTGTCAGCATAGATTAAACTTTCATTTCTTTACTTTTTTTTCCATTCTGTAATTTATGGACTGTCTGGCAATGCTAGAAGACTTTAAAGTGCATTCCCTGTTGTTTTAATGTCTCGTTTCCCCACATCACTAAGCAGCCCACTCCCTATGTTATTAGCAGTTATTATTAATTACACATGGGATATAAAGGTTAAAGGGATTACAAGCCAAGGCTGGCATTAGAGGCCTTGACCACTGAGCATTACAGCAAAGGGGGCAGCCCACTCTAACCACATGCATCTAGCCGCATTACCTTGGAAGTCAGTACGAAGTTGGTTCCACACTCACATTAGACATTAGTCAAACCCAAAAAGAACCGGGGGGGGGGGAGGACTGCAATAAGCAGCGGCTCTGATTCCCAACTGCCTGCAGTTTCAAAGTTAAAGAAAAGAAAAAGTAAGACTAAGAAACTGAGAATTATAAGGCTCATCCAAATTTTGCATATTGATTTATGACTGCAACCACTTTCTTTTTATTTATTATTTCCATTATTGTTATTGCTTTCATTTTTACTCTTTTAAGTTGTTGATGTGTCCGTTATCTGTGACTACCAAAGATAAACTACGAGTTAAAAAAAGGATTTTCTGTGTTCCATGCAATAGAAAACAAGGCCAAATATCCTCTGCATTCTCCTGCTGGATGCAAAAGAGTAGACAACACAGTTTTGCTTACGGTGAACGAATTAGCGAGCTGTTCGACTTTTACTGAAGTTTAAAGCCAAAGGGGTTGTTCAATGGGCAGCTGCAAGTCTTTGCCTTTGACCAAAATAGGAGAGGATAGGCAGAGACTGGGACAAACACATGACCATATCATAGAAATGCTGTCGTTGGGCCAATGTAAAGTTAAAAAGGAGCATTCTACCAGGAAATGACGGCTGTAAAAGAAATTCACGGATGAATTTGTCTGGAAACTAGGTTCACTGTTGTCACGGTGTGACTAAAATGCAGAAAGGGGAAAAGGTTTGCATACCACAATGTGAAAAGAGATATATACTTCAAACTGGACCACACAATGATGACATTTTGTTTTGTTTTATTTTATTTTAGGGTTGTCTTTTTATTTTTTTTCTCCTCTGAAAAAGATTGTATGCCACTTACTATGTGAATCCAGTCAGATTTCCTTTTGTTCTTTGTTAACCATGGTAAACGCTTTATGATTGTGTTTTAGGTTCTGTCAACTTATTACTTTTTATATTAAAAAAACACTCCTGTCAACTAATAAGCTGGGTACAAGGTACTTTAATGGCAATTACTTTTTTTTTCCTTTGTAAACTCAACCATGCATTTCCTATGAGTAAGTATGGCAATCTGTGGTTCATGAAAAAACAAAAATAACAATGAAAAAGTACATCCAGGCAGCTGTGGATCAGGCTTGGGCAGCCAGAGAGGAATTATGAGAAAGATATGCATTCATCCAAAGCCTATCTCTTATGAGTTAGCTTGACATTCTAGACCAAGGGGAGGGAGGGAACAAGCAGGTAGATAAGATCATTCTCCGCATGTGTAGCTCGACATTACTAAAGTAAAGCAGCATGAGAAAACTGTTAGTACGCATACCTCAGTTCAAACCTATAGGGAATGATTAAACAAAGAGGAAAAAAAAAAAAACATACCATTTCACTCGGTTGCACTTAGTCGTATGTCCTGCATGTTTAGTCTAAAACTGTAGCAAAGGATATTTTAAGAAAGAGTTAAGAAAAAAAAAAGATATAAAAATGCAAAAAATCAATTTGTTCACACATTTTTTTTTGTTTGTTTGTTTAGCAAACCAATCCAAACCTCAGGCCTTTTTTTAAATCTTTAGAAAAGTTGCTCACTTTTCCTTTTTTTTCCCCTTTTTCCAAACATGGTATGCTGTCTTAGAGACTTCGCTTTTGTGGGCTTTTATTCCATTAGGTTGTACATACATCACATTATAACCCTGTGTTCTTTTGTTTTCTTTTTCTTTGCTCTTTTCGAAGAACAAAATGTTTGTATTACCATGTTTGCTTTATCGCAACTGCTTTGTATTGACTATTAAAAAAAAAAAGACACAAAGCAATGACAAACTGCTGTATGTATTGGAATAGCAAACTGTGCTGCAAATATATTTAACACCGTAATCCTTGCTTTTTACAAAAAAGAAAGTCAGACATCTGTGAGAGGGGAGAGAGAGGGGTGGGAATGAGTTTGGGGATAATCCCAGATTTTTGGATTTTGAAAACTGTAAAATAGAAAACAGGCTTGTCCGTTATCATTGACCTAAGCATTTTGTACAGAGCTTCTCTTCTTTGTGTTAAGCTGTTTTTGATACTTCCTTCTTTAAGCAGTCCAGCCTCTGCCTTCTGCGGCTGTCTGGTCTAGATTATGAGCTCAGAGAAAGAGCAGACAGGTGTATTTCCTCAAAGGGAAATCTCTTGCATGACTCACGACATACAGAGCTGTGGTAAAGTGGTTGGTAATATATCGTGGTGTATCTAATATTTTATATAAAACAGGAAAAAGACAAAAATATTGCAGTGCCAAGATATAAAGACTATGTTACGTTGCTATCTTTTTCATCTGAGCCCATTCATGCAAGTTTAGGTGAAATAACTGCAGATTTGTTTTCCTGTTTTTAGTATTTTTAAAATGTTGAATATATTTTTATCACCGTTATGTTCTTTCTAATTGTATAGCTAGGTAACCCAAGCACATTAAGTGAGTATGGTATTTTACATTGAGCACATTTAAAGGTTGAAGCACTGAACATCACAAACTGTTTTTTTTCTCCTTTGGCATCCTCTCATTGCGTTAAATATCAAAAGGTGCAAATGTCCCTCAACCTCTGTGTGCTTGATTAAGAACGTCTCCTCTCGCACCGCACTCAACCCCTTCATAATAATTCTGCCCTGATTACGTAGATCACTCATCCCTATTGGTGATATTTCTCTGCTATGCTGTACAACCGCCCTCCTGGTCCCGTTCGCAAGATTAAAGGTACAGTTTGTGGAAATGGCAAAGTGTTTTCATGGCCCACCAGACCACTTGATCACTGTCAAGGCTGTAAACCTGTACAGTAATGCAAGGTTCTCCCTTTTATGTCTTTTCTCTTCTGTTAAAGAACGGATTATTCTCATCACCCGCTTCATCAGTCTGTAATCCCTCCTTCACTCCCTTGTCTGTTTTCCACAGACTATTATGTTAAAGTCGGTCTCGGCGACTGACTAGAGCGTTCGATAAAAATGCAATAAAAATGCTGGTTGTTCATGTTTGTTTCTGGGAACTGTCATTTTCACCATCTCAAATTATTGTGCCTGAATGATAGGCTTAAGAGCAGAGATGAAATAAAATACAGATGGTTGTTTTTTTTTCCCCCCACATTACATGACTTCACATCTATATCCAGGTGAGATAGACATCTCGAAAGAGCCAGACTGCACTTATCAGTTTTTAATAAAGGAATCGGTGCTTCTGAGTCCGAGGCCTATATCGGCTCTGTTTGTCATCCGAATGTTTTGTACATCTACAACCGCTGCCACCGTCTCCGCTTGCACATTAAATCCTCACATAATTAAAGAGACAGTTAAACTGTCCCTCCCCACCAGCAATTTAGGTAACTGCATTTGATCAGCTATAAATTGTTACGGCATTAAAATTCCAGAAAATGTTAGCGATATAGCTTTCTTGATGGAGATAAGCTCTAATGATGACGAGTCACTTTTTATGACGGAAAGCGCGGGGTCATGTTAGCCACTAAACAGCAGACAGAGATCAGGCCTAAGCACTTTTAATCTTGTGAAACAAGCAATTACAAATAGTTGCATTGATTCGTTAAAAAGCTTTAGGTGACATAAATTGTTTCCCGCTTAGCTTATTGCTCCGACGCATAAATGTCATCAGGTGTATTATTAATTAAAGCCACTCAACAGCAAGATTTAAAGGAAACAATATAAAAATCATGGCCGGTCCTTTTACCGGTAATATTTTATCACGCTTTTGGGCTCCTTAATTTCATCGTTGTTATCTCTGAGATATTAGCATCTCACAGGAGTGGGATTGTTCTCTGTTCACCCGTGAAAATACAAATTAGAACAGTTTCTCATGATGTGGATAGGATTACCGTGACAGTCTATTACACTGCGAGGTCTGATCTTAAAAAGAAGGGGAAACTTTTTCTACTTGCATGCAGTTTAATTCTATTAGATCTGATCAAGTGTCCCACGTATCGCCATATAGCCATAACTAATCTTAGCATTACGGTTCATACGCACATTGTTACACTGTACAGTATGTATCATCCGGGATGCCAGACGTAATAAGAGAGAGTTATTATTATGCCTGGGATGCAGCCAAGAAATAATAGCCCGCTGATTAATGACCTCCAATTTCAAATGGAATTGTCATAAAACACGCAAGTCTGTGAAAACGCAAGCTGAACTGTTCATCCCACAATCAATATCTTACCGTATGTCTCTACAGTTCACTTTGTACGCATGGTTGCGAGTTTAAAAAGATCTGGATGCACTTTCTTTCTCGCATTAAACTCAATGTATACATTCAGTGCCAAAACACCTTCAGTATTAAATGTTAAATAAACTTCAAAAGGCTAAATAATAAATTCTACCTGCCTCTCATGCCATTCATAGCAGTCTACTAGAGTTACAAAGTGCTACTCAAGCTCTTATTATGGCACGCACCTTCAGCGTGGGGCTTTACTAATGAAATGGACAGATTAGTGCGTTATCTTATTTACATATATTGAGTTGAGGTAACAAAACTCCATTTCTGCTTCTCATTTCATTCTAATTAAAGCGTGGCAGCGCAACGGCAATCCACACAAGAGCTTTCCCTTTAATAGTCCGAGCTGGCAAATTCCCACTTTGCAGCGTGGCAATTAGCAAAGGCAGCAGCGTTTACTATTCACGGGTTTGAAGTAAAATGAAAAAAAAAGACCTTGTTTATTAAGTTGGGCTGCTGCGGGCGCTGGCGTGCAATAGACCTGGCTGCAATTAGATTCCAGTTATTTGTCTTTTTTCTGATATTGTAAACTGGCACTTAGCGCATCAGTTAATTTGACACACGGTGCTGCTTGGTTTAGCCAGTAATTAAAACATGTGCGGTTAATTAGATGATGACCACTTTATTTCAGGGCCTCTTGTGTTTGGAGGCCTTTTTTTATTTTGTGTAGCGAGCACTGTTTGGATCATGGGTTGCCAGACATTGTGCTAATCAGACCTTCTTTTGTTTCAATTAGCACCTGCTGTTGAAAAGTCTGCATGCCATTGTCTAACACCTTCACAGACAGGAATCCAGACTATCATGTACACAGAATTTGATCGAACATTGTGGAAAGCTGCACCTCTAAATACAGTCTAGATTTTTTTTTTTACAACAGAAACAATTAAAAGAAGACCTCTCCCAA